AGAGCGTCACACGCAGCGGTGCGCGCTGACCTCAGCGCAGAGGCGGGGCTTCCAGGGCCCGCCCCCTCTAGTCTTTAAATGGCCCGCGGCGTCCGCGTGGGCTTCGGAGGGGGGCTGGGATGGGGCGCGGGACCTCTGCCGCAGGCGGAGCAGACACCGAGGTGTCCGGCCGGGTCCTAGGTGTGAATGCTCTTCTGCAGCTGGAACGGATGCACCTGCATGCTCCCCGGTGGGATGAACTGAGATCCAGTACGATATGTCAAAACAACACCAACCCCCCACACACACACCAATAATAGTCAAATGTGTGTGCAAGTGCCCCTAGTTGTTTGATTCCTCACAGCTCCTGGAGAAAGGTAGTCATTATCCTCATTTTACAAGCGAGAAGGAGGCAGAAGTCAACAGACTTGCTCAGTCCACTGCTAGTATATGATGGAGATGAAATTTTAACATATCAGTCTCAATGTCATCCATCTGCGTACCAAAACTGGTGCTTTTGTTAAGAGGGTGAACAAGGCAGATACCATCTAGCCCTTAGGGAACTCAGGGTCAAGTGCTTGGCAGTAAGAGTGAAAAGGACAGTGAGAAGTAAAACGCAGATTTAGTGAAATTACACCAGTGCTGTCAGGGATGGATAGTGTAGGAAGGGACAGCTAAATAGATCTGCAGGAGGTTGGGAGGGGAAGAATGTAGCAGGCTGAGTGAGTGCAAGGGCTGGAGGCAAGGAGGGCATGGTGCATTTGGGGAACTGAAAGAAGTTATTGGAGCATAAAGCTTGGAGGCCAAGGGACTGTAGGAGGTGGGAGGGGTTGGGATCTGGGTGGGTGATAGAAGGTGTGTGGAGTCCATCCTAAGGACCATGGGAGGGCATTGAAGGGTTTAGGGCAGTGATGTGAGCAGGTGCAATGTGCGAAGGCTCACTCTGACATCTGGGTAGAAGAGGGGATAGAGAAGTCCAGAGTGGAGGCAGGTAGGTCAGCTAGAAGACAACTGAAGTCTACATGAAGTGGCACTAGGAGTAGTGGGAAGGAAGAAGAGGACAGGAGGGATTCGGAAGCATCTCAGGAGGTAAAATGAACAAGACTTGTTGACGACTTGGCTGAGAGGGTGAGAGTAAGCAAAGAGAATAGAAAACCACCAGGTGTCAGGCCTGGAAGCCTGGGCGGACAGTAATGTCTTCACCGAGAACACAGAAAAGCAGGTTGGCACGGCAGAGATAATGACTCCAGGGCTGGACTCAGTGAGCACAGGGTTCTCAAGGGGCATCCTGGTGAGATGGGCTGCTTAAGATAGAGACTTGGGAAGGGAAGGTGGAACAGGCGACCATGCTGCTGTCATGCCATGACTAGTGCCCCAGCACCACCCTGAGTATTACATGTGTCGGCCACTCCATTCATCAGATCCCAGAGTCCAGAAATCCAAGCCCAGGGCCCTGGAGAGAAGGTGAAGAAAGGAAACATTATGACTAGAAGTCCAAGATTAAGTAAAAGGCCTGACCCCTGCAACCCTGAATCCCCTAGCACAGGGCTTTCTCCCTGCATATCAATGAACAGTTATTTAACAAATGCCATGTGTAGGCTCTCTCCAGGAAGTAACTTAATTCCAGTCCCCTGGGAGCTTGCAACCTAGCTGGGAAAACTACCTGTTGTCATTCACTCGATAAATATTGATTGAACACCTCACCCTGTCCTAGGCCTTTTTTTTTTCCTTTCTAATACCAGGATACAGAAAGAACTAGGTCCTTCCTCATGAGCTTGTTGCCTGTACAAACAACATGACACCGTCTAAAATACCACACACACACACACACACACACACACACCACTACGTAAACAACAATCAAGATACAAGAGAGGCTCAGCACAGAGGCGTGGCCATGGCACAGTGCTCTACAATGCTGGAAGACATACAGAAAATTGGGGTTCCATTCCCAGGTCAACTCATGCATGCTGGTGTACAAGTGTGTCATGGTCCTAGATGGCTGGAAAAGGGGAGAGGGATATCATGGTATGAGCCCCTGTAAAGAGTGCTTGTCTTGAGGTTGTCTTGGGACCAGCAGATGGCGTAATGGTTACGTTGCTGGACTCCCATGTAGTTGACCCCGGTTCAAGTCCAGGACCTGGTGGCTTGATTTCTCTCTTTCTCTCTCTCATCCCTCTCTGGTCAAATTAGAATATATAAATACATCAAATAAAATAATTATTTCAAAACAATGACAACAAAAAACTCATGCTGAGCATGTGTGTATACATGCCCAAAATCTTAAGAGGAGAATGGAAAAGAAGGGATTATGGTGTGGCCATGCCCCCTGGGGGGTGATTTCTCACTTTCTGTCATGAGTCCTATAGCAAAAATCTCTCAAAAAAATTTTTTTTTAAATGAGGCCAGCAGGTGGACCAACTGCAGTTAAAAGTCCCAGACCTGGTGGCTTGCTTTCTCACTTTTCCTCTCTCTCTGTCTTTCTTTCTTTCTTTTTTTTTTTTTTTTTTTGGAGAGGTTTTAGCTATAGGACGTGTGCACTCGCCAGACAGAGAGAGAGACAGAGAGACAGAAAGCGAGAAATCACCCCCCGGGGGGATGGCCACGCCGTAAACCC